TTGGTCATGGTGCCCATGTTTGTGGTGGTCATCGTGTTCTTTATAGTGGTGTTGGCCATCATGGTCATGGTGGTGCTTGTGTTTGTGATGATCGTTATGCCGATGTATGTGGTGGTCATGATCATCATGGTGATGGTGTTGGCCTTCATGGTCATGGTGATGTTTGTGGTGGTATTTGCCATCATGGTCATGGTGGTGTTTATGGTGGTGTTGGTCATCATGGTCATGGTGGTGCTTGTGGTGGTGGTGTTGGTCATCATGGTCATTATGGTGCTTGTGTTTGTGTTGGTCGTGATGCCTATGTTTGTGGTGGTCATCATGGTCATGGTGGTGGTGCTGGTCATCATGTTCATGGTGAACTTTGTGGTGGTGCTGGTCATCATGTTCATGGTGGTGCTTGTGTTTGTGGTGGTTGTGGTACCCCGGTTTGTAGTGTTCATGATGATCATGGTGGTGGTGTTGTCCATCATGTTCATCGTGGTCTTTGTGGTAGTGATCCTCATCATGTTCATGGTGTTCTTGGTGTTGGTCATCATAGTCTTGGTGGTCTTTGTGGTGCTGTTGATCATCATGGTCATGTTCGTGCTTGTGTTTGTGGTGTTCGTAGTGTTTCTGTTTGTGGTGGTCAGGATGGTCATTGTGGTGTTTTTGGCCATCATATTCATGGTGGTAATGTTGGTGGTGTGGTCCATCATGGTGATGGTGGTTTTTGTGATGGTGTTGGCCTCTGTACTCATGGCGGTCTTCGTTGTCTTCATGGTGGTGTTCGTCATCATGGTCATGGTGGTCTTTGTGGTGGTGTTGACCATCATGATTATGTTGGTGTTTGTGTTTGTAGTGATCCTGATCATCATAATTGTGGTGGTCATTATGGCCTTTATCGTCATCTTCGGAATTGTCGTGATCGTGAATGTGGTATTGATTGTGTTCAGAATAGTCATGTTGATTCTCATGGTGGTGTTGGTCATCATTGTCCTCTTGGTGTTTGTCTTTGTGGTGGTCATGGTCCCAATGTATGTTGTCATTGTCATGATGGTGTTTGTGGTGGTCATGGTGATCTTGTTCATGTTCGTCTTGGTCATGTTCGTGTTCATTGTGATGTTGGTGATCTTGGCTGTGGTGATGCATGTGTTTGTGGAAGTTTTGATTGTCGTCATGTTCATGGTCGTTGTCTTGATTTTCTTCTTTGTTCTCATCATGGTCATCTTTGTGATGACGTTGATAGTCATGTTGGGACATGTGGTGGCAATCATGACCTTGACAGCCATGGTCATGGTCATGATCATGATCATGGTCATCGTTGAAAGGGTGCTTATGCTGATACTGGTACTGTTTGTGATGGTTGCGACGGTGGTGGCTAAAACGATTTTGTACTCTTTTTCTAAAGTTCAAAATATTACGCGAAATTGAATCCATTTTTTTTGTATCATGGCAATTTTTTGTACAGATGGAAGGACATGCAAGGTATTCTGTCACACCCTGGTCACCTATTAACAAAAAAAGAGAAAAAAACTTGTTTAACACAATTAGTTAGTTAGTTCACAGTTCAATTAAATGTTAGCTACATGAACATCAGTTCAAAGAAAATTATTTTAGAGAGTTATGTGCAATGTGTTGAGGTTTACTTGGATTGTAGTAATCATAGATGATGACTGTAGCTGGCTTCAGTTGCAGAACAACATCCTCAAGTACCAGTTGTAACTCATGATACACAGGTTTGTCTTTATGTAACTGAACACAACAAAACAAATCTCAAGTGAAACGGTAAAAATCGCAAAAAGCATATTTACAGCAAGTTCATCTTACCTCCCATAAATATAAAATAACATGACCATCCTTGTATTCAACATTTTTCACCAGCACACCATGTTTGAGCTGTAAGGAGAATACATTTAGCACATCTATCATCTCTGTCTTAGAAATACACAGGTTTTTGCAGCATTTTCATTCAGAATAAAAACACAATTTACTCACATTCGACAACGACTCTGGGACAGGACAAAATCCAGAAGGTATTGTAATATCTATGACCACCATGTTTGTACAGCTACTGTCTCCATTGTGTCTTTAAGGAGACAATAAAAACATGTTACTTGCTTGTTTTAGCACAGTTCATTTTCATTCTGGCTCTCTAGAGTAGTCAGAGCTGCCAACATTGGAGTTCAGGTTTAAGTGTTGGGTCATTGTATTTCTAAGTTATTTCAAATGCAATCCCACACCTCTTTCTAACTTGCTTTGCTGATTACTTACGAGGACTTCAGCTTCAGCGTGACCAGGCCTCTGTCACAATGCTTATGGAACACTACCTCTGCTTCCACACTGAAAGGGCTTTTTACACTTTCAGCTGGGATGTTGTAGTGAAGAGAAACCTGACAAACAAGTAAGCAAAAGAAGTTTGACATACATAAAATAAAATGAAAATTAAATAAAAAAATCAGTGCTTCTGTTCACAGATATTTTAAAGAAAAAAACAGTATAATTTACCAGATCTCTAATATTTATTATACGTAGCATGATTTTGTGCATGAAAATGTAAAATTCTAAACCCTTAATTAAAAAAGTATTAGTCAGAGGTTATCCATCATAATACAAAATGTCATAGTTTTTGTCACTGACCTGTACTGAAGTACATGCATGGCTTTCTGACTTTATCAAGTACTTTCCTTTTAAGTTCTGCAGCATCCGTTCTTGGTAAACATGTTTGTTCTCTGAATTGACATGAAATACCAGGTTCTCACTGGGAGAGGAAACTGTAACCAAGCCTGAACCCTCTGGACTGAATATCAGTGTAGCATACAGAGCCAGAGCTTTAAGAGCCACCGCAGTGTCCTACAACACAAACAGACAACACAAATAAGTAAAATGTTAAAAAATATAAATGTATTTGTGTTTTTACACATGTCAGCTTTCTGAAATAGAGCTTCATGTTTAGGATCTTCAGTAGACATCAGTTTCAGAGCATATTGTTCAGTTTTCAGAAGAATAGTATTCCCTCTTGGACTGGAAAACTTGTCTGGGGTGTTAAGTAAAAGTTCAAAGCTCACTGAAGAAGCTTAAAAGTACTAAAGCCAATCGCTAACGCTAGTTGGACTGTGTATGAAGTGATACACACACACACACAGAATAAAATTAAATGTATATTTTAATTTACTTAGACTGGTGGAAACCACCAATGTGTTACCCACCACTGGAGCACAAGAAAGACTGATTCTGTCTCCATGTTCTGGTTTCTCACTGAGAGGTTTTCAAACTATAAGAAAGCAAACTGATAGCTCACTATGAAGATTAAAAACATGATAATGGCAGCACACAAAGAAACAGGCAGCAGCACAACTACAGGCTTTAAACTTTCAAATTAGAATTGTGTATAAAAAGTCCATAATAAAGAAATTATATTACATGTACTGAAAACATAGTTAGACCCAGTAGTCTGAATAAATAAACAAGTAAATGATTGAATACATAAACAAAAACTATTTTAAAAATAAGAAGCTGTCTTATTGTTTTTGTCCATGTTTCATTTCATTTCATGAATGATCTAACAAATCTGGATAAATGCTCAAATATCTTTATATTATAAATTGGTAACCTATCAGAAAAACCGAAATAAATAAATTAATGGTACTACCACACCAAACTTAAGCCCAGTATCTTTTAAAATAGTTGTTCATATTTTTTTCATTTTTAGCTAAGGCAGCCATCTTGGATTTTTTTTTTTTCATCACAAATGTATAACAACTCACTCTTAGCTACAACTCTACCAAATTTCAGCTCAATATCTCAAAGAATGACTGAGTTGTGAGTTGTGTGTGTGAGTTATTGTCAATTTTGAGTTTTCTGAGCTGTGGCAGAACCAAAATGGCTCCAAAAGTTAAACAGTGTTTTGTTCAGAGACCTCTCCCCTCTAGGTCATGTGACTCACTGTGGCTGTTAGAAGCTGTCAAGAGTTCTGTCAGTGTTTTTCAATGACAAAAATGGCATTTTTGTTTACAAATTTTGTCACCATGGTAACTTGAAATGCCATTAAGAGTAACAGCACACATCACGGTGACATTTTGATATAAAATTTGTGGGGCGACACATTGCGGTTCAGGCCGCATTGAAGTTGACAGAAGAGCAAGACCATTTTCAGGTGGATAATAATAGGTGGCTGCCTTTATAGGCAGTCCCCAAAAAATGTGAAGGTGGAGTGCAGCATGTACCTGAGTGGAGAAAAAGCCTCCATAATAGTTCTGTTGTCCACTAAGCCACCTAACGGCGCTTGTGGTACTTTTCATGTCAATGGTAGCGAAAGAAGAACTGAGTCTGGCCAGCAGCACATATGAGGTCGTCTCCACACACCGAGGTGATGATTTTTCTGATGGTGGACACCAGTAGCAGAGATCCCCTAAAAACATCCCCCAACAAGAAGTACAAACAATGTGAAGTACAGCGGCAGTAACGACTACTGAATGATTTACTCTGAGAAGATGGCTTGCCTTCTTTTCTTGTGACCGAGTCAAGGTGGTCTAGAAATTCCGCCCGTGTGTCTACATCTCCTGCCAGTGAGAAGACGTACGCCAGCAGAGCTACAGTGTAGGTGTTGCTGAAGTCATTGACAGATTCCTTCAGGCAGCTTAGACTCTTCTTCACCACATGATTCTTTAACAGGTAAAAAAAACAACACAAAGGGTTCATCATTAAAGGAAATCACAAAAGTTATTTCAAACTTCTTAGATTTCAGTTTTTCACACTGTGTTAATATTTATTACATTTAAAGCTCCAATGATGGATGGAGTTCCTAATCTGTTTTGCTAAAATCTTATTCATTGCATTTATTCATTTATTTGTGAATGTTGTACTTGTTGCTTGATGTACCACCACCAAAAGTTATAACACACTGTAAGAGGCCGAGATACACATTTTAATGTATGATTAGCTTATTTTTTCCCAAAAAATCTTTTCATCAAGATACAGGAAGAAATGTAACGGAAAAGTTCAAGGATTACTTTAGTATTTATGCAACAAGAACTTTATTTAAAGTCACTTACATCTGCAGGTATTTTCATTTCCAACAAGGCAGCAGTGACGTAAGCAGTAAGTGTCACTTCATCAGACACCCCACCCTACAGGAGGCAAAAAGGTTTAACGTCAGTGCGTCTGCCATTATTAAGGGATCATTTTTGAGTGTGAACAATGCTTATACACACATTGTAAGTACATTGTAAGTAGTAATACTGCGATTACCATGTGAACAAACTCAAAGTTATCACCTTACCCTTAGTTTGTCATTGAAGAGTTTTCCTGACAATTTGAAACAACCATTTTTAAGCTGTTGGCGCTCCAGCCAACTCCTACAATCCTCAATGATCCTTGGCTCAATATAAATGAAAGCCTGAGCTTTGAAAAAAGTTATCATCACAAAGGCAGTGAGCCTGGGGATGAGAAAACAGAGTACACATGTTACTGAGAAGCCTGGATGTCAAATACACAAAGCTGCACAAGCTGATCTACACCAATAGAAGGAAGAAGCGCCAGCATAACTAGAAAGTTCCTGCAGAAACTTTGATGGGGACTGCCACGTTACGGCCATTTGAAAATGTTGATTTGACAGTGCTATAAGTTTGAGTTCTCTCTCATCTAAAATCACAACAAATTTCAGCTCTATATGTGAATATATAGCTGAGTTAAAGCCATTTAAATTTAGCTTTGGTGGCCGTATTGAATTTTTCATTTGAATTCAGTATTTATTGGACATTGCTCTCAGCTACCACCACAACAAAATTCAGCTTAATATCTATAAAAAATGGCTGATTTATAGCTCAGGTGGCCATCTTGGATTTTTGCTTTGCAATCAGAGTCAATTAGGGATTGTTCTCAGCTACCAATACACCAAAGGTCAGCTGAATAGCTCTAAAAATGGCCGAGTTATATCAATTTGAAACTAGTTTCAATGGCCATCTTGAATTTTTAGATTTGAATTCAGAATATGTTGAGCATCACTGTCAGTTACCACAACATTAAATTTCAGCTCATTATCATTTGAAATAGCTGAACTATTGTATTTTTTCCTTTTTAGATAAGGCGACCATCTTGGATGTTTAATTTGCATTAAGAATGTAAAACAACTGGAGGTGCAAGATTATGGAAGATAATGTGTCACAATTTTCAAATTAAAATTGATTAATAGAAATGCTTTTCATTTTCC